CCCGAGGAATTATAGGGAGTGGGGATTTAACACCCCGATCCTTTCCCCCCGGGGGGGATTTGGGGGTATGTAACTTAAATAAATTTAAAAGTTGCCAAAGTTGAGAAACACTGCCTTAACTATATGGTGAAATGTGAATCAGATAGCACTATACATTGAAAATCTGTGGTTTTGACTTAGAATAGACTATTTTTTGTCATGAAGAAATGATTGTGTGATTTTCCATGAAAAGCTGCTTAGATTTCAGGAATCTAACCCATTCCTGAGATAGATGTTACCCATTCCTAAAGGGATTGGGGGAAGAGGAAGAGCATCTCCTCCCCCCTTTCTTCCTCTCTCCTATTGTCCTAGATCAACATCAATCCCCAACTATGTGCCAATATATAGACACTGAATCATCCCTTGGAAATCCCCTTAATGCACCAGAAAAACCATAATGCAAGCTGTACTGAGGCCCCAGATGTGGAAGAATCTGGAGCAACCGCCATCATAGTCTAGACTGTTTCTCAGCTTTAGCAACTTTAAGCAATCTGGCTGGAGAATTCTGGGAGCTGAAGTCCACACATCTTATAGTTGCTAAGGTTGAGAAACACTGGTCCAGAACCATAGTCCTGGACTGGCAAAAGGACACAGAGAAGGTAGTTTCATGAAGATTGCTCTTCTGTTGTTTTGGAAACAATGTTTGTATTATTTATGCATGTTTGCATTGCTAATTATCGGTTTTTCTTAGGGTCTCAGGAGGTAGCAGCACTGGCTGACCTAGTCAGGGTTCAAGGGCTAAGCCAATTTGGACCTGGTTAGTACTTGGATGGGAGACCACCAGGAAATACAACAGCCATAATCTAGACTCAGAAATTGTAAAAACATCCTGGAAGATGGTAATGGTAACTACTTCCATACTGTTGTTAAGAATACATGACAGGGGGAATTAAACTAATCTGATATTAAACATGGCTCCTCGCTTCACAGTAAAGATTCAGGAATCTGTTTTCATTCTGGGTAAAAGAATAAACCATGGTTTAATGATCACAATAGCTGGGTTCACCCAACAAATTTAGCCAACATCAAACAAACCACCTTATGGCTTAATTTAATATGTGAAACTCACTGATATGTCCAAGATAATGTAGCCAGATAGGTTTGGGTGCATTTACTCCAGACTTAAATGAGCAGACAAGCTGTTTAAACCAGCTCTCTATGGGTTGTGATCCACCGTCCCAGTATCTCTCTCCCCGCAAAGTGCGTCTATGGGCTGCCTCCTAAACTGATGGCTACATTCCTCTTTTAGTGACCTTCTATCCCTGACAACATACTGGTTCCATTAACAGAAAACAAATGGGGTTGAGAAGGAGGACTTGACAAAACCACCTTCTGTGAACTCGAGTGCACTTGGGGCTATGAATTACATTCCATTCCCTTTTAGCTAAATACCTTATGATATACAATGTTCTCCCTACGGAGATATAGTTGCTTCGAAGTCCAGATTCCATCTGGAAGCGATCCAAGTTCTTGTTGGCCGGGAAAGAGTAATTTCTGTAGGTGAAATATGTCTGAGTCTTCCCCCAGCTCGCTTGGCAAAGGAAACCATTCTGAAAACAGATTCCTGCATGTAAGTGTTCACAGAAAAACGGGGCTGTTTTGCTTTGTTTTTACTACAGTGCAGCCCTCCGTATGAGCCAGACAACTTATGCAGTCTGCTTTGTTGGTAGAAGACCTCTTTAATTAAGAACACTGCTAATTATGCCTTCATTACTCTAAACCTGGCTTCCAGTATGGCCCTTTGCTGTAGGTTCCTTCTCACAAGGCCGGGAAAAGCCCTGTGTTCAATCATTATGCACAGCCATCTCCTGGCTTCCTTTTTGAAAGGATAACTTGATTAGCTTGATTTAGAAGTTTATTGATTTCAGACATTGCAGGTTTCTTATTTCTTACCTAATTCTGAGAAATTGGCTTTTGTTTATGTGCTGTTTAATGCATCCCTCTCTGCTATACAACCTGAAGATCAAAGGCAATGTACTGTCGGCGTAATTGGAAATTTGGGCTATGTTATTGGCAAAAAGGAGATGTAGGAAGGACTGTTTTCTTCCCTGGAAATAGTCCAAGTAACTGGGGAACACTTACCGAAGGACACACCTGGGTCCCTTTGCCTCTACTTGGGCATCATGCGCTAGAAACTTTGAGAAGACTTTTCCTTAAGGACATTTTGGAAATATTATATATATTAGTGGAATAGTGATCAACCAGCCATTGTAGTTTATTTAGTAAACTCTGGTTAAGCAAACCACAGCTTGGTGCCATCTGTGAGCCCTGGGTTTCATTGCAGCGTGCACCACACCAGGCCTGCCATTTATGAATCATAGATTGCTGAACAAGCTACAGCTGTTGGGTCTGTCCAGAAACCATGTCATGCTGAGGAAAACCAATGGCCAACCACACCGTGAATTATTGCTCTGTGCAAACCAGATTATTGCTCCATCTTCACCCACTTTGACAAACGGTTCTGGACTGTTCCTTCATCCCTCTGCCTTGATGGATGACATATTTGTGGGCAGGCCAAACTTTTCCCCGGCGACTGGATGCATTTTTGCCATTTCAGAGTTTTTCTTAATCTTGTTTGCACTGTTCTTGCATACTATTCAAACTGGATTATCTCCATGGTGATTGCCCAAACCTTCTGGAGCCCCTATTGTTATTTTCATGGATTAATTTAGAATGTGAAGAGGCATTTCTAAATAAGACCCAGCAAAGGTACCTTAAATAGACCTCACTATTGGATTATCCTTCCCATTTCTTTTCCTTTTCTCTCTCTTACTGAAGGAAAAACTGTAAATGAGAAAGAGAGAGAAACAAACAAACCTGAGAATAAAAAGATAACCAGAATTTGCATTTCTCTGGTTAGGAAACAATTTGCTAATTACAAGGGAAACTCCTTTGTTTCCCATGTAAGCCTTTCCACACTGTTTTCAAAATTAAATTGGATTCTCACCTGTGGCTTAGAAGTCTATGCAGAGGCGTAGTTCCAGATGTGACATGAGATGACCCTCCATCCTGGGGACTAAATGACTCTGTTGCCATAGACCAGTGTTGTCCAAACTTGGCCACTTTAAGATGAGTGGACTTCAACTCCC